GTGCAAATAAGTTATAGAAAACAAGAATGACTATTGAAACTTTTTTATATTACAGCAGAAATGAGAACTGATGTATTGATCTTTATAAAATGTTTATAAAATTTTATAGGTAATTTTAAAAAGTAGAAACAAGAGTAGGTGACTGGTCTACCCAGCTAAAACATTGATGGGGATCCTACATCCCATGTCAGTGTGCCTGGGGTAGAGTCATGGCTCTGGGGTCTGATTCTACCATCCTGCTGATACACACCCTGGGAGGAGCATACGATGGCTCGTGAAGTTCATCATTGTTACCTATGTAGGAGACCTTGATTGAGTTCTTGTGCCTGGTTTTGGCCAAGCCCAGTATTAGATGTTGTGGGCATTTGGGCAATGAACCCACAGATGGGAGCTCTTTGTTTTTCTTTCTCCGTATTTCCTCTCTTCCTTTTTACCTCTCAAACAAATAGAATAAAATATTATATAGAAAAAGTGAATCACATGGTCAGCAGCTTAAAATATAGAAACGATCTAAATGATTCTCAACAAAGAAATATATAAACAAACTGATTTTTTTTTTATTTTGACAGGCAGAGTTAGACATTGAGAGAGAGAGACAGAGAGAAAGTTCTTCCTTCCGTTGGTTCACTCCCCAAATGGCCGCCGCGGCCAGCACACTGCACCAATCAGAAGCTAGGGGCCAGGCGCCTCCTCCTGGTCTCCCATACGGGTTCAGGGGTCCAAGCACCTGGGCCATCCTCCACTGCCTTCCCAGGCCACAATAGAGAGTTGGACTGGAAGAGGAGTAACCAGGACTAGAACCCGGCGCCCACATGGGATGCCAGCGCCATAGGCAGAGGATTAACCAAGTGAGTCACGGCACCGGCCCAAACAAACTGATTCTTTCATACAATGGAATATTATTCAGCAATACAAAAGACTAAATTACTGATAGATGCTACAACAATAAAGGTATTCAAAGGCATGATACTAAGTGAAGAATCCAGATACTAAAGGTTACATATTTTCTCAAACAATTTATATAAGCTTCAGAAGGAAGAATAGAGATAGTGTTTCCCATAGATTGAGAGGGTAGAGAATATAAAAATCTAATATAGTACTCTTCATGAAGTTTATGAAATTTTTGTTTGGTTAAGTGTACTTTTTAATGAACAAATATAAAACTTAATCAAATGCTTTCTTCTCTGGCTCTACTGAGAAATAAGTATAGTGACAGGGTCCTATTTTTCATTTCCTTTTAGTTGTTAATACAATGAATTACATTGCGATTACTTTAATAAGTTTTCCTATTTAAACAATAATTTTATTCCTAGGATAAACAATGCATGAACATGTTGCTGAAATTGCTTTGCATACCCTTTTTAAGGAATTTATCAGTATGTCCATCATCACAATTGGACTGTAATTATAGTTTCTTATACAAATACTTGCCCCTGTTTTAAAAATTAAGGTTACCCTAACTTTGAAAAACAAATTGGTAAATTTAATCACATATCTGAGTCTGAGAAATTCTAAGGACAATCAGACCCATTTGACAAAATGGGTTTGGCAAAATTTTAACTCAATTTTTCTATGGATGATTTCCTTTCAGAAGAGAAGAAATTTATTAAAATGTACATATTTTAATGATTATTGAGTTTTTATGTAGAATTGTTTAATTAATTATCTCAAACGTAGTGGTTTAAAAGTATGCAAGTTTATTAGCTTAAAGTTCTGTATGTTAGACATCAGGCACCAGTCTCACTGGGATAAAATCATTTTGACAGCAGGACTGCAATCCCTCTGGAGGCTTTAGGGGAGAATTTGCTTCCTTGTTGTGTTCACCTACTAGAAGATACCCATATTCTTTAACTTATGTCTCTTTCCTCCATCTTTAAAGGCAGATGTGGCTAGTCAAGTCTTTCTTATATCACACTATTATTTTCCTAATACTTGCCTCTTTCACTTTCAAAGACCCTTGTGATTACATTGTGTCGATCTGAATAATCTTGATTTATCTCCCCATTTTAAGGCTAGTTTATGTTAACAATTTGCAATCTTAATTCACTTTTACCATTTGTTGAACGTATTCAGAAGTTCTGCAGATTAAGATGTGAACATCTTTTGGGAGACTGTTATTCTTCCTATCACAAATGCATATGAGTGAAGCTTTTTTTTTTCAGCTGAGAATAACCAAAACCCTAAGGGAAAGGGCTTAAATAAGAAAGTTTCATGTGCTTCATGCTGTGAGTAGTCTAGGAAGTAGTATTACAGGAAAGTAGGGCAATCCAAGAGTGACTATCAAAGTTTCCAGCTCCTTGTACTTTTCCAACACACAACCTTTGATGCAAAAGTAACTCCTCCTCATATATGCATTTAAGGCAGGAAAAAGGAAGGGGGAAAGAAAAGAACCAGTGACTATGTAAAAAAGCAAAAAAGCAGGGCTGGCTCTGGCATAGCAGATAAAGCCACTACCTGAGACACCAGCATCCCATATAGTCTCTGATTCAAATCCCTGCTACTCCTCTTCTAATCCAGCTCTGTTATGGCCTGGGAAAGCAGTAGAAGATGGCCCAAGTGCTTGAGCCCCTGCACCCACATGGGAGAACCAGAAGAAGCTCCTGACTTATGGCTTCAGATCAGCCCAGTTCTGCTGTCGTGGCCATTTGGGGAATGAATCACTGGATGGAAGACCTTTCTCTCTGCCTCTTTCTCTCTCTTCCTATAATTCTACCTCTCAAATAAATAAATAAATAAATACTTTTAAAAATGCAAAAAACCTTTTCCAGAAACCTTCAATAGACACGGCATTGTCCAGAATTGTGTTTTTCATTGTAATGGGGACTGGAAAAGCAAGATTAAAAAAAAATTACACATATTACTTCGCTTTTAAAATCAATTACCTGTTAGTAAGATGCAAGGAGAGTGTAATGAATACTACCCAGGTAACTGCAGTGTCAGCTGCTGCACAACTATCATTACACTTAATGACGATATTTTAGAAGCATTCCAAATAAGGTCAACAATAAGGTAGAGGGACCAGCACTGTGACATTGCAGGTAAAGTTGCCTCCTGTGATGCTAGAAACCCGTATGGGCACCATTTCATGTCCTGGCTGCTCCACTTCCAATTCAGCACCCTGTTACTGGCCTGGGAAACATGAGTGCTTGGGCCCCACAAACCATGTGGGAGATTGGGTAAAGCTCCTGACCCCTGGCTTCAAAGTGGTCCAGGCCTTGGCTGTCATGGCCATCTGGAAAGTGAGCCAGTGTATAGGAGACCTCTCTCTCTCTTTCTCCCCCTCTCCCTCTTCCTCTCCCTCTCTTTCTCACAGGTGTGCATGCTCTCCCTCTCTCTCTGTAAATCTGCTTTTTAAATAAATAAATAAATCTTTATTTAAAAAAAAACAATAAGGTAGACACATCTAATATAATAATTCCTCCTCATTCTGTGGAAATTTTTAATCCATGCAATAAAATGTACAAAAAAAAATAGAAAGCAAGAGAAAACTGTAGAATATAAGCATATTGGCAATAGGGGATCATAAATTTAGTTTTGCAAATGTCTTGAGGCTTCTATGAAATATATAATAAAAAGTTGAATATTTAAGTATAAAGCTTAGAGAAAAACTGTGCATATGAATGAAAATTTGAGCCACTGGTAAACAAATGAGAAAACTATAACTGAACATAATTTCTGGGGATAGAATAAAGAGTTAGGTTAAAAGATTAGGAGGATGAGTGAGCAATGGGTGCAAGGGTTCAGACATCACTTAGAATGCCACATCCCATACCAGAGAGTCTGGGTTCAAATCTCGCCTCCATTTCCTGCTAATGTACAGACTGGGAGGTAGCAGTTAATGGATTAATGGATCATGTTTTTGGGTCCTTATCATCCACAAGGGAGGAGCAGATTGAATTCAACTATGGTTGTTACAATCATTTGGCTAGTGAACAAGCAGATCTCTCTCTCTCTTTATCTTACTAATCCGTTAATATTTTTGTTTTTAAATGCCAGGAAAGAAGACACTTAAAGTCAAACAGTGAAGAATCATATTTAAAGACAAACTTGAGAATAAATGTCCAATGAAATAGGAGTAAATACAGAAAACCATAATGTTGATGTTACCAACAGAAAGAGGGTAGGAATGTTTTATTTTGCTGAGAAGTCAAGGAAAAGGAGGAAAAAGTTTTCAGGACATGGTAGATGTTTAGTAAACAGTACATGTAAAAGCGTAGTGAGAATTTTGCTGTAAGCCTGATCAAAGTCAGTTCAAGTGTTCAGAGGATCATAATAGTCAAGGTATAGAAATAAACTAAATGTTCATATACAGATGAATAGGTAAAGAAGAAAAATATATATATATATACACATAAGGGAATTTTAGCTTTATAAAAGAAATTATGCACATGATGAATCAACCACAGAGACAAATACTGTGTGATTACACTTACATAAGGTATCTAAAACAGTGAAATACATAGGGTAAAAGAATGAAATAGTGGCTAGAGGGGCTAACAGGTATGAGAAAATCAGGAGTTACTAATCAATGGCCACCAGGTTTATTTTTTTATTATTATTTTTTTTTTTTGACAGGCAGAGTGGACAATGAGAGAGAGAGAGAGACAGAGAGAAAGGTCTTCCTTTTGCCGTTGGTTCACCCTCCAATGGCCGCCGCGGCTGGCGCGCTGCGGCCAGCACACCGCGCTGATCCGATGGCAGGAGCCAGGTGCTTCTCCTGGTCTCCCATGGGGTGTAGGGCCCAAGGACTTGGGCCATCCTCCACTGCACTCCCTGGCTACAGCAGAGAGCTTGCCTGGAAGAGTGGCAACCGGGACAGAATCCGGCGCCCCGACCGGGAATAGAACCCGGTGTGCCGGTGCCGCGGCCACCAGGTTTAATCAAGAAATGCAAAAAAAAAAAAAAAAAAATCACAATGAGGTTTCATCTTACCTGAGTTAGAATGGCTGCTATCCAAAAATAAAAAAATAAAAAAATTAAAAAAAAACATGCTGGCTAGAATGTGGGGGGAAATTACATAATACATAATACATTGGAAATTTCTGCTTATATAATCTGAAAATAGGTCTACCATATGACCCAGACAGTCCACTCCTAGGAATTTACCCAGTGGAAATGAAATAAACTATGTTATCTGTATCCACGTTTATAGCAGCTCAATTCACAGTAGTTAACATATAGATGTATATCAGCTGATGACTGGATAAAGCAATCACAGTATGTATGCACAATGGACTATAATTCAGCCATAAAAAGGAATGAAATCATGTCTTTTGCAACAAAACAGATATAACATGAAACCATCATGCTTAGTGAAATAAACCAGTCCCAAAAAGACAAATATCATATATTTTCCCTGATTTGTGGTAACTAATATGCAAAGCACAAAAAATTAAAAAATGTATGAGCAAAATTGACATTTTATCTTTATGTAAGTGACTATGATGCCTTGAACGTGGATTCCATTCAGAGCCTCTGCTGTCTAGTGGGCTCATCAGCAGTGCAGAAGGATTATTTTGGTTTGGTTTGGGTTGGGGTCTGGATGTCACCTTTCTTTCTCCTCGTTCCCTTCTTCTCACATTAAGGAAGTGGGCCTGTCATTCAATGTTTCCAGCTCTGTAATAGGAGACTAGAAGGGCCACATATGAGATGTCAAAAGGCTCATGGAAAATGGAATTAAAAGATGTTTACTTTGGTGCAAAATGTGTTTAAATCCATGCACATGAGGAGTCTTCAAAAAGTTCATAGAAAAGAGAACTCTTGGATTTCGAATTACAAAAAATAAACATCTTTAAATTGTTGGGTTTTTTTTAAGATTTATTTTATTTACTTCAAAGGCAGAGTGACAGACAGAGAAAAAGATCTTCCATCCACTGGTTCACTCCCCAAAGAGCTACAACAACCAGGGCTGGGCCAGGTGGAAGCCAGGAGCCTGGAACTCTATGTGGGTATCCCTGTGGGTGGCAGGGGCCCAGGTACTTGGGTCATCTGCTGCTGCTTTCCTAGGAGTGGCTTAACCTATGATGTGACAATGCTGGTTCCTTTGTTGGTGTCTTGATGCCATACCTGCAGCCCTTTTATGTTCATTTGCTGATGCTTGTAGATGATTACAGAGAACAGTGAAGGACAAGTTCTTGTAGCTTAGTGCAGAGAGCCCAAGGCCACACTGACTGGAAGAGCTTGTGGATGTGGTGACATCATCAAGTCTGGCTCTGTCTAACTCGCAATCCTCCAGTGGCGCAACAGGAAGAATGAAGTCGGGCAGAGTCTGTTTGCTGTAATCTCCACCAGATTTTTAGTATCACTCTAATTAGTAGTTAGTTTGTTATAAAGAATATTATTTTCCTAAGTATGTATGAAGTGATTGGCAGTATAAGATATATAACTCCTCATTTTTAACAAGTTATAGATGGAAAAGTGGATATAGATGGAAAGATGGAAAGACAAAGGGGTTCTCATGATGGCTTCAATTTTCCCTATAAAGGGAAGAATAAGATTGTCTGCTGATAGTTTGCAGCAGCAATTAGGCAGAGGCTTAAGATGAATGAAAATGTAATAGGTTTGATATTGTGAAAGTTGGAGAGAAGTTGACTAATTAAACATAGTACAATTATTACCTAGTACTAATATTGGGATTCAGCTGGGATTGATAATCAAAAATTTGAGTGGAATCAGACTTTCATGTGAAACTTTTTTCCAGCAAAATATTTTCCCTAGCAATAGTTTCATAAAGGTTTGAGTTTGTCCCTGATAAAAGTAATTTAAAAAAGAGAGACAAAGTATTCAGCATTTCTGTAAACTTAATTGTAATGAAGGGTCACACAATCAAAGCTGGATAAAAAGGAAAGTCAAAGTAAGTTAAAAGCCTATAGATAGCAAAACAAACAGGGGTCAAAGGAATAGGTCTGAATGTTCATGGGAAGACTATACAAACAAATAAGCTGGAAAGATAGGAAATTGAACTCAGAGAGCAATGATTTTGAACTAGTGATTTTAGAAGTGAAATAATTTCAAGATTAAAATAAGGAGGTGGAAGCAATCTTTAGGAAAGAATTTAAGATAAAATAGAAATAGGTTGATCATAGAATAAGTATTTTCAAGGAGAAAATAATGGATTAGTATTGAAGTCAAGGCAAGGCAGGGCAGAGCCATTTGTTGAATTACAATGTAAAATAAGAGGAAAGAGGGATCTATCCTTTAGGTGTTGAACAACAGCCAGATTAAAAACTGAGTGATGGGGGCCAGCGCTGTGGTGCAGCAAGTTAGTGCCCTGGCCTGAAGCACCGGCATCCCATATGGGTGCCATTTCTAGTCCCAGCTGCTCCACTTCCGATCCAGCTCTCTCCTATAGCCTGGGAAAGCAGTAGAAGATGGCCCAAGACCTTGGGCCCCTGCACCCATGTGGGAGACCTGGAATAAGCTCCTGGCTCCTGCCTTTGGACAGCAGCTCCAGCCGTTGCGGCCAACTGGGGATTGAACCAATGGATGGAAGACCTCTCTCTCTCTCTCTCTCTCTCTCTCTCTGCCTCTCTTCTCTCTTTGTAACTCTGACTTTCAAATAAATAAATAAATCTTTAAAAAATAAAATAAAATAAAAAACTGAGTGATGGCAGAAAACAGGGGCCTCTGCTAGCTAGTCAGGAATTGGAGCATTATATGGGATACTTTTCTATATTCACAGAATATTCTACAAACATCAAATGGTGTTCTCTCTGGAATGACTCTGTCCACCAATGAGAAGTGTCATTTTCTATTATTTGATTTTCTGAGCAGCCAGAGAACACAAATCATGCTAAATGATAGCTTGATCACATAATGTGAGGTTCAAAGTCTGGCTTTGACCACCCCATACATAACATTGTGTGCAATTGTCTTCCATCAACCTTGACTCCTCCCCAGCTCACCACACGTATGTATGCTCAACTTGGCTACTAGAACTCAGTTTTCCAGACCCTCCCCATGTTGCTTCCCAGAAAAAAGACCCCCTGTTCTCCTAGTTTTATCTTCCCTTGGCTCAAACTCACCAAATGGTGATAAACTACCTAGGTTTACATTCTCTGAGTCTTTTTGGCGATTGATTGGCTAATCAGTCAAAAGAGTTTATGCAGAGGTAGAAATAGCTGAAATAGCATGGTACTTTACAATGTCCTGGCAATGGTTCTTAACTCAGGTTATCAAGACTCTAGTCTAAAAGAGCGAGTAATGGTATACATTTGAAGCACTAAGCAAGAGACACTGCAGAGCCTTTTCCAGGATGGAAAGAATTTTACATTTCTTAAGTTCAGTATTTCACTCACTTGGCACCTGACAGCCTGTTATACCTCAGATATTCTTGAAGATGCTGTTAGTTCAGTGTTCCACATCTCAAACAATTTATAGTCTGCAAAGAAGACCCACACGTAAACAAAAAAACTGAGGGTAATAGACACTAGAAAATAATTCCCTGAGTGCACATGGAGACATTAAGGAGAAGATGGCTAATCCCTATTTTCTTATTTCCTCTGGGAACTTGTTCCATTACTGACTTTCTTTCCTCTATTTCTTTTATGTTTCTTCTCTGCTGGTCTTTTCCACTCATCCAATAATTCAAGTCTCTTTCCCTGGAAAAAAAATAAAGTAGAATAAACTCAAGAGCCTATTATTAACTTTAGATACTCATTCATTTCTCTACTTTTCTTTCAACCTTCTCATCCAAAATATGTTAAATTGGATCACATATTGAAATAATCTAAGAACTTTAAAAATACTGGTGTTGGTCTTACCACCCCGGAGAGATTCTGATTTAACTAATTTTAAAAAATGAGATAAAGATTGTTAAAAATCCCTCTCTCCTGCCCTGATTGTTTCTGTTACAGCAAAAGAAAAAAGTCACTATTCTAAAGGTTGGTAAAAATGGAACATTCCAACATATATACAGTGAGGACACACAAAGCACCTGGGGAACCATAACTGTTTTTATGTCATTAATCAACAAACACTAATGTGCTTTTTGCACATTGATGCCACAATCTAGTTAACAGAAAACTGCTGATTCTAGTTAACAAAAAATAGGCAGATTTGCCTGCCTGAGAAAGCAATATTCCATTTTATTTTTCATCTCCCAAGTGTTCACAGCTAAAAGCAGGATTCTTGGCACTCAGTTTCTCTATCTGTAAAATGGGAAAAATCACTTTATCTGAAGTCACTGAATTGATAAGAAGACTAATTAATTCATCTTTGTCAAATGCTTTGCAGAAGGCGGAAAAATCTATAAGCTCTAAGGATTATTGTCTCCCTGAGGCATCCATAATTTGTGGAGACATTTATAGCCTGTGTGGTCAGTGAAGCCTGTAGTTTGGAGCCTTGCCCTTGCTTCTAAGCCTTAGAGCACAGATTGTTAAAACTCATCAGCCTCCATAAAGCGACTGGTAAAATGACTATAAACTAGTTGCTGTCCAAAATGTCTGCGACCTTTGCTCTTTAAGCTCTGGGTGGATGTTCCATCCTACATGTTCCCAAAATGCCACCTTTCATGATCCTTTCTGGGAGAGTGCGGGGTGGAAGTGAGGGATAAATGTGAAGGGGAGCTCCTCCCACAGAACTGTTAAGTGTGTTAACTGGATGATGTTTCTTGAGAACGAGGCTGCATCTTTGCCCATTTTTCTCAAGGACTCCTCGCGGCTGCTTTCATAACTCCTTTCAGTAATATTTAATGTTTTCTCACCTTCCGATTGTGTTCAAAGGTCTTCATAAGGACACTGAAATAAAAAGGATGGTTTTTGGCATCTGCACAGAGTGAAGCAAGATTATGTTACAAATGAGAAAAATGGAGCAGGGGTCTGATTCCTTTCTTTTGGCAAAAAGCTGCTATAGAAACTAATGTAGATGAGGGGGCACTGAGCCATATATAAGTGAGTAATTATCTACTGTTACAGGCCTTATTATCTCTCCAAATGTTTGCTAAAATTCTGTTGGGCAACCATCTGGACCCAGAGATTTACCCGTGAATAGAGACTGGATTGTTGTTTTAACTTGAGATGGGAAAATTTCTTTCTTTAATTCTTTTCTGTCATCTTCTGTTAAATAATTTAGCTGAATGTCTCTTAGATAGCTCTCTGTGAGTCCTCAGAGTAAGTGCATTCCGTGTGATACACTCATATAAAATATTCTTTGAAAGTTCTTTTTTCCTCGCATTTCCCCCACCAGAGGATCCAAGGACAGTTTGCCATCTGTTGTAAGAATTTCATTAATGCACCTATTTTCTCTTCCTTTTTGCAAGAGTGGTCAGCCCAAATAATTTGTAGCCCTTTCCTGTTACGGCAGGATTTGCTGCCCAGAAATCTCACCCCACCACTGATAAGTCCCTGCTCGCTCATTAGGACTTTCTCTCAGGTGGCTTTGTTAGCTAGAAACAACAAAGCCTGTGTCCCAAAGCCTGGCTGGGTATCAATAATTTAACAACATGTCATAGACAACAGTGAACCATGCTGCTAGGGTTGAAATATTCCTAGGGCTCACCATCTATTATGCTTTGCTTTCTCAGTGCGTAGTGTGTAGAGTACAGGTGGGCCCAGCATTTTCCCAATTCAGAAACTTACAAGACAAGATAATGACGCAAGGGAAGGATGATTTGCATTACAAACGGTTTTCTTGCTTTACCAGAGGGTTCTCTGGATATTCTTTAAATTATGATCTCCTGTTCCACATTTAAAAGTTTATAGGTTTAATTCATCTGTGTCTTTCCAGAAAACACTCCCAAAAAAGAGTCATCGCCTTCAGACTTGACTGGCCAAAAGTCTGTGCACAAATCATTTAAAATATGATATCTAAAACCCAGAATTTTAGCTTTAAATTTTCTTTGAGTCCAGATTTTATGTCAGTATGGTGCATGTAAATGAAGTTACTCATCTGCTGTATGTGATCTGATTAGAGACCCCACATCCTCAATTTCTCACTTTGCACTCGATCTGGTTCCTTTCCATGGTACTAGAAAAAGTGCCCAGGCAACAAAATAATCAGCCAGCCATGTAGAATGTTCTGGTCTAATGGTTACATTTGCAGTGTGGAGAAAGGATTTACTGTGTAACTCCATAACAGACAACATGTCAACCCACACACAGTTTCACCTATCATAAAACCCTCTGCACACGTCATAGGTCCTCTCTTCTCTAACTCTCTAGTACATGTCCTAGTATTCCATCCCTGGTCTCCATCCTCCTGGAGTCTGTCCCCACTGCCACCAGCTAAATAATGCAAAGAATTCCACTCTATTCAACCCAGCCTCTGCCTCCTTACGGTCATCTATCACTGCACAATTAGAAAAGAAACCTCTAGCTACAAGAACCCTCTATCATACCACCTCTGACCTCTTCTATTTATAAAATAAGTAGATTGTTTTATCTCAATTTAATGGTCTCACTTTCACTAGAAAAGTTTAGTCCCTTTGGGACTGGTATGATGTAAAACATCGAATGAGACAAAGTCAAATTTGCAACATAACACACGGTCACTCACCATAAATTCTCTGATATGATTGGACAGGGGACAATTATAATAGGGCCCCAAAAGTCAGAGAATAATGGGAAAATAACGACAGAAGACTTATTTCTTCCATTGTTCTGAGTTGTTTATACATTTGGTTTAAATCAGATCAAAGTGATGGGAGCATCAGCTCCCCTTCTCAGGGTAGACCAGCGTGGGTCTGAGCAAAGGGGTTTTTATCCATAGGGGTTGTGGTTCTACCAAGGAATGGTGCTAAGAAAAGTTTCAGAACTAATTAAGGAATGTGGGGGGTCAGGAGTCAGGTTCAAGAAAAGGAAAGTGCTTGTTTTCAGCTGTATCCTGCTTTTGTTATTAGATTTTACCATGAGCTCTCTGCTTGTGTCCCTATTTTTGTGGCTGAGTCTGCCCTGGGATCCACAATAGCAGTTTCTCTTGCTGTCCTTTCTTCTCTAGAATCCTACGGCCATAGAGATTCTACCTTCATCCTATAATTTCTCCTGCTAGAAAATAAACACTGGTCAATGGCATGTATCAATTATAGTAGGCATAGCTACAAAATGTATTGTGTAAAACAGGACATATTTGAGAGTAACAAAACATGCTTTTCAGTGTTTATGTCTAGAACACAGGTGAAGGGGCTGATGTTTCAGCCCAGCAAAGTAAGCTCCAGCTCAAGACACTTGAATCCTTTATGAGAGTGCCAGTTTGAGTCCTGGTTGCCCTGCTTCCAATCCAGCTCCTTGCTAAAGTGCCTGAGAAGGCAGAAGAAGGTGTTCCAAGTACTCTGGTTCCTGCTACCCATGGGTAAGTTTTGGATGGAGTTCTAGAATCCTAGCTCTTACCTGGCAGAACTTGACTCTTGATTTGGTAAATGAACCATTGGGTGGAAATTTTCCTTCTCCCTCTCTCTCCTTGTTGCTCTGCCTTTCAAATAAATAAATAAATAAATCTTTAAACAATCAACACAGGTGTAAATGGGGAATGTCTCAGGCAAACTGAGGTATACCCTGTGTGTGAGAATGTATGTGTTAACCATATCTTATGACACTTATCAATCTAATCTTATTCTAAATATCAGAACACTCTTGATACTACTAAAAATAATAACAGTGGCAACCATAACAGTTGCAATCACTCACAAGTTCACTTCCGTAGAGCAAGCCCTAAGTCTCACTTATAATAATATTTTCATTCTCTACAACATTCTTATGAGATTTGTACATCGTTATTATGGAAATGGATAACCTGAAACAAAGATATTTAAATACTTTTCCAAGGGGTCAGTGTTATGGCTGAAATGCAAGCATTCCCTTTTGAGCACTAATTCAAGTTTCAGCTACTTTGTTTCTGATCCAGCTTCCGGCTAATAGACCTGGGAAGGCAGTAGATGCCTCTGTTTCCTGCCACATATTCCTGCCATACTCTCATTCACATGGGAGACCTAGATGGAAATCCAGGCTCCTTGCTTCAGCTTGGCCTAGAGCTGGCTGTTGCAACCATTTGGGGAGTGAACGAGTGAAAGGAAAATCTCTCTCTCTCCTTCTTTCTTTCTCATGTTTCCCTCTCTCTCTGTCACTCTGCTTTTCAAATAAATAAATAAATAATCCTAACATACTTATTCAAGGTCACTCAGGTAGTAAGTGGCAGAGCTGAAATTTTAGCACACTCTACCATGGCCTTGGCCAATATGAGCTCCTTGTATCTTTTAAGTACCTTGTAATGCACTTGAAGAATGTTCAAAATTACCACAGGTGGAACATTCTCCTGATCAGAATGTTGTTTCACGCGTATAGCTTAATGCCATATGGGAATGCCATTATGAACATTACCCTGTTCCTTCCCATCCTTCCAACTGTGCTTATACCATTTTCTCTGTTTTGCCTCCCTATGTTCTCCATCTTAGTTCATATTCAATTTGACAAAGCAAAGCTTGATTCCACACCCTTTGTGAAACCATAGCTTGCTACTCAGTTGACATTATGCTCTCCCGCCTGCATCCTCCTAGTCTAATTATCTTCAGCAATATACATACATTGGCACTGCATTTTTCTTTCTCAACTTCCTAATTGTTTTCTGTTTATTATAATTCTGTCCCTAACCTGTATAGAAACCCAACAGAGACTTAGAGATTTCATAAATATAATTCAGAATTTGTGTGATTAATATGTCTGGAGCTTTTTTTTTAAAACAAACTCAGTTCAAGAGATTAAATAACTCATCCAAATTCATTTACAATTTCATATACAAAGTGGTCACCCTAAAAGTACTGTGTGAAATTTAGTTCTAGATTCTGCGCAAAAAGTGAGATATTCTTTTTTTAAAAGATAGATTTATTTATTTGAAGGCCAGAGTTACAGAGAGAGGAGAGAGATAGAGAAAGAAATATCTTTGATTTGCTTGTTCACTCCCCAGGTGGCAAAAACAACCAAGGCTAGGAGGCCAGACTAAAGACAGGATCTTGGAGCTTCACATAGGTCTTCCACGTGGGTGTAGGGGTCTAAGTACTTGGGCCATCTTCTGCTGCTTTCCCAGGCATAATAACAGGGAGCTGGATCTTAAGTGGAGCAACTGGAATTCGAACAGATGCCCACATGGGATGTGGTGTCGCAGGTGGTGGCCTAACCAGCAACACCACAATGCCAGCCCCAAGATAGTCTTAATAGCATTAAGAGACTGGAAAAGATTTTCATTTTAGTTTTTATGTATTTGAGTAGGAGACAGACAGACTACATAGAGAGCTCCATTGGCTGGTTCGCTCCCAAATGCCTACAATTGCCAGTGGTGGGCGGAGGCAAAGCCAGGAACTCAATCCAGGTCTCACATGTGGATGATAGGAACCCTGATGGTTGACTCATTGCTGCTGCTCCCGAGGATCCACATTGGCAGGAAATGAACCCAAGTATTCTGACGTGGGACAAGGGTCTCTTAACTACTAGAATAAATGCTTCCACTAAGATTTTTATTTTAAATTAATGGAAATATGCTGAAACAATAATCTAAAAATAAAATACATTAGCTTTTTAAATAAGCATTTTCAAGTGGTGTGAGTGGCTTTACCACATGGAGAGAAAAGTAACCTCCACATTATCATCCCACTTAGACCAGAAAACCTGAGAACAGAAGGGATGTTTTGGGGAGACTGAGGAGGATCTGGCTCACAGCTGCTAACTGCGGCTGTACCAAGAACAAGAACCCTGCCTGGGATGCATTGTCCCAACCAGGATTCCCTATAAAGTTGATCGTTGCTGTTATCATAAGCTCTGGTCTGGCTTTATTCCTTTTACTAATAAATTGGAGTGAGTTTCACTGACAGTACTAGTGTCATTTGCCAGCATGTGATCAATGGTGCTTTATGGGGAAATAACTGGACAAGTTGGGCACCTAACTTGCTCAGATGGACAGCAACTTCCTCCCACTCTGTCCCCAGGCCCAAGGTAGCATGTAAGACTTGGCTGCATGGAGGTGATAACTTTGGGTTTGGTGGAATGAACACTGGGCACAGTACTCTCCAAGTTTCGTTGGAGCCGTGGGGGAAGACATGGAAAGAAGCGAAAGGAAGCATTCTAGAATTCTACAAACGCAGGATATTATGATTTCTATTTTGCAAAAGATTATGCTGACAGGGAATATTGTGGGCTATTGGCAAAACATTTCTAAGAGTGTCTCTGCAGGGCCAGTCTGATGAAAAATTACAAAGTTAGCCAATGTGTTCTTTTTTTCTATTATTTGCCCCATTAACATTGGGTCATTTCTGATGCCTGAGTCCTTATGCCCCTCACTGTTTGTTCTCTAGCCCTCTATCACTTTTCATAATAAAATAATAATAAAAATATTTATAGATAAATATTACAGATTACTTCTTATGTACCAGGAACTATACCAAATACTCTTCACTGGTTACCACTTTTTATCTTCATAACAATATCTGGAAATTGGTTCTTATCTTTACATTGATTTCACAGAGTCTAGGAAACTGTGCTCAAGTTGCTGATAAATTTGCTTAGAGACACTGAGCTAGTTAAGAAGCAAAGTTGGGATATAAAACCAGGCAAGTTCACCTGAGTCCTGAGGTCCTGCAGCCATGAACAGCATATGCCTAATTTATTTATGCAGCTACTTTTCTGCCAAGAAGGATTTTATAAACTGGTTTATTTTGAAATTACTTTGAGATAACCTGACCCCCTTTTAAGGTTGTCTGCATAAAAAAAAATGTAAAGAGCTCAGGATAGAAACCTTACATGTTTGTCTAACCAAATATCACACCCATGGAAGGTAAGACTTTCCCTATGTATAAAAGCGGTCTTAGTCAATTTGTGAATTGTCCTAGAACAATTTTAACTTCCTCCAATCACAGCAGTAGAGGAGCGAGGGCTCTTTGGAGCTGTCCAAAAGATCAAGAGACCATTCATTCTCCACCTCCCAATTCAAATCTTAATTATATGAGCTGTACATGTATATGACACTTTTCCATACACCCAGCAGCCGCTTAATTTAGCAAACATTTATCTAGTATGAACTCATGTTTTTAGCCTTACAGTTCTCCAATTCTAGCCCAATAATACATATTTTCTTTGAATTTATTATAAATATATCCCACAGCCTAGAATTGAGTCATATTTGATTAATTCCCTTTTACTATTCTCTGGTTAGTGTGTTTCTGGTTTTCTGTCAAAAGCATATACTCTCATTGAATAAAAAAGAAGATTAGAACCAGCATTTCTGTTTATTTCCAGTACAAACAAATTATGAAAAATATTCTTAAATGGGATAATATATGGGTGCCACCTATTAGTGTCTAGCACTTAGAATGTGTTCAAACACACTCATACACATTATTTACTTCTCCTTCATTTTAACTTAAAAAGTGCTTTTGGGGCTGGCACCATGGCTCACTAGGCTAATCCTCTGCCTTGCGGTGCTGGCACACCGGGTTCTAGTCCCGGTCAGGGCGCCGGATTCTGTCCCAGTTGCCCTCCTTCCAGGCCAGCTCTCTGCTGTGGCCAGGGAGTGCAGTGGAGGATGGCCCAAGTGCTTGGGCCCTGCACCCCATGGGAGACCAATATAAGTACCTGGCTCCTGCCATCGGATCAGCGCGGTGCGCCGGCCGTGGCGCATTGGAGGGTGAACCAATGGCAAAAAAAAGGAAGACTTTTCTCTTTGTCTCTCTCTCTCACTGTCCACTCTGCCTGTCAAAAAATATAAAAAAAAAGTACTTTTGGGTAAACAAGCAAAAACATATACTTTAATAAAGTCAAAAGTATCTTTAAATGCATTTAAGAATTGTATTTGCCTTACAATCCTGTTGGTAACTGGGAACAGAACAGATGGTGAAGGGATTGATTTAAGATACATCTACCTTTCCTTGAAATAAGATGTCCCTTCATTTAAAGAGAGGAGATCCTAGGGGTCTAATTCCACCAGAAGGTTTGTCTAATTTTGCAAACTCAAGAAGTTTAAGGAATGTAGACCAAGGTAATCAAATATGCTCACTTTGGCCACCATCACCTTTGAGGTCAGTGGAGCTTATCTCATTGCAATTTCCTGCAGAATGTTTGCTCAGAAGACACCTGGCAAAGGAATGTCATTAAGTATTTACCCTGACAACTGCAGTAGCATTTTTAGCCTAACTGTGGTTTTTCAGAACACTAAAATTAATTTATTTAATTGAATAGAAAAAATATATTAAAAACTTTTATGAGTACAGTGTTTGAATTATTGTACTTATATTAGCTATTTTCCTTTTATTAATGAATTTTATTTTATATAAAACATACGTTCTTATTTATTCACAGATGTACTGCTGACAGGTCTGAGGTAGTCATCAGTAGATGATGACATTGTACTTCAGGGTAACATAACCTGTTCTCACCTTGTAATTCATAAACATCAGCCTCATGACCCAGAGTTTTTCCATTGCCACTGCA